ATATATGCATATGTGTGTATTATATGTCTTTCATGAAGGAACATTTTACTGTACTGTGGATCATTGCCAAAAATGTTTGAAATACTTATGTCTCATTTGGATAAACTGGCATCCAGGGAAATAGTCTGTCAAGTCCTAAACTAGATTAGAAATAACTAGTAAGAGAATACAATATGATTCGTTTCTCTTCCCTTGCTATCTTCGCTGTGTTGTTCTTGGGTCAACAGAGTTGGCTACTGTTTAATTAGAATTGAGTTCTAATACCGTGTAATGGCTCTGGCCTAACATGTAAGGGCAAGTTATGGGTTTGGCTATGGGTATCAGGCTAATTATATTGACCCCATTGCATAGGAAATGCAGCTGGCTTTATTGGGGGTGTTCAGTTGTTTTTCATTAGCAAGGATTTTGGAGAACTTTGTCAAACATATGTCTAAACAGCTCTTGTGCACGCTCATCTCTTATCTCTCTTCTAGGCATTGATATTTATTTTTTCTCCACCTTTGTGAAATCAAATAACTAGATGAAATTCTGTTTGTTAATCACATGTGTATGTGGTATATGTGTTTACATGTTCGTGCATATATTATGAGCAGGTGTGCATGCACACATGTGGAAGCCAGAGTTTGATGTTGGATATCTTCCTCTAGCATTCTCCACATTATTTTTTGAGACACTCTCTCTCACTGAAACTGGAGTTCACTGATTTGGCAAGCCCAGCTGACCAGCCTCAAGAATCCTCTTGTCTTTGCCTCCTCAGCATTCCTGTTATAGGTCTACACCACAACCAGCTTTTTACATAGGTGCTGGGGATCTGAACTCAGTTCCTCATGCTTGTGCTGCAAGTCTTTTACCAACTGAGTCATCTTCTCAGCCTTAAGGATCTGTTTGATTCACATCAGCATACATCGTTTATTTTGGCAGTGTGCACTTGGTATGTGAAAGACATTATGTCACTAACTTTTCATACATGAAGTTCACATAAAAGGAGCAATCAATATTAATTTCTAATCACAGAGAACTTATGATAATATGGTCATTTAATCATTGAAGCCCCTCTGTACACCATCTATATAACTGTTGGCCTTGCAGGGTCCTCAAACATACCATTTCCTACCTGGCTTTCTATTTTCCCTGTGGTATTTTTTACACTAACTAACTGTACTTTTTAAAGCAGTAAACAGATGAGTAAACCTTATGTGTTCAGATCTTTTCTCTAGGAAGTTTAAAAATCAAAGACTATTTGAAGTCTTCCTGTTTGCTTTGGTTTAGTAACCCCGGCTTTGAGACAATTATCAATAATAGTATAAGTTAGTCTTGAATTCCTCATCTTCTGCTGCAGCCTCCCAAGTGCTGGGATTACTGGCATGTAGTATCATCCATAGGTTGCATACTCCCATTTTTAAAAGCAGATGTTATTTTTTCTAGAGAACATTGACATTTGGATATTGGTGCAAAAGTCATTTCACCTTCCCATGTTTATTAAGAATTTGAAAATATTTTCCACAACACCAAAGAAATCTGTCTGTAGTTTAAGTATGATCCAATGTATCGTAAAATTATGTTCATAGATGTATGTGTCTTAAACTTATGAAACATCCAAGCTATAAGTGGCCTTGCAATTTGGAGTCCTTTAAGGCAGAAGTACAGCATCAGGCAGGTTAGGAGCCTTCTTCATAGTCATATCTGTAGTTTGTAGCAGAATTGGATCTTGAACCCAGGTTTCCAGCATCTTAGTGCTTTTACATTCACCATAGTCTGCTAGGTTGTCTCCTTTCTACTGGAGGTTGAAATAGTTTCCATGTGTAAAAGACAATATCCAGTCACCAGTACTCACCACACAGACTATAACAGAATCATTACCTTTCAGCTGATAAGCCCCAGGCACTTCTCACCAGAGTGAATGAGTTTACCTCCTTCCCCTTCTTCACTGAGGAGATTGACTATTGACATTCTTTATTGCCTTTGCTCCAGTGATTGAATCAAGACAAGGTCTTTATAGGAAGACTATTAGCATTGCTTGCACTAGCAGCATCCTTCTGTAGAATCAGTGTGGTCTAGTATAAAGACTCTAGGGTGCCATGTCCCAGAAGCTAGTCTCGCTTGTCAAATATGTGACCTTAGAAAACTTATTGAACCTCCCTGTCTCCCTACTCCATTAATTATCAACATGAGTAAAATCAGACCTATTTCTCTTATGTCTCAGGTCTGTTGTGAGGCTAAGGTGAAATAATATGAGAGTGCCATGCCTTCACTATGAGAGCATAGAATTATGACTCAGTCAACACAATAATTACTGAGGATCTACTGTTTACATGCAAACTGAGGACATTCTGAGGAGCACAGGACTCAGATCCTTTCTTGACCTATATTCTAGATGAATGGAAAGAAACCCAGCTCTACAAAGCTGGAAGTGATTGTAGTGTGTGAACTGCACAGACAGACAGACAGACAGACAGACAGACAGACAGACACACACACAGAGAGAGAGAGAGAGAGAGAGAGAGAGAGAGAGAGAGAAAGGCCAAAGAGGGATTCCCAGAGAAAACTGCATTGAAACTATACTTTGGGACACAATTAGATTGACAGGGAAATTGGAGAAGCAAGCAAACAAGAAGTATATTCTCAGATGGGACAATACAAGGACCAAGGTCTGAAATGTTCTGGAGGCCTACTCTTCAAGATGTGGAAAGTTCAAGTAGCACTAAAAGGTTATGACAGCTTTTCCAGCTTCCTTGATGGTCTACTCACAGTAGAAAAAGAATCAAAGTATGAGTTCCATGAAGCCAAGGCAGATGCTAAGTGGGGCTGTGAGTAGATGAATACAATACAGGTAGTTTAAGACTGAAAATTGTCACATAATAGAAGCATATGTCTTGGGGTTATTCCAAGAGAGATGGTTGTGATAATCAGCATAGCCCCTGATGCATAATTAAGACTAGTAACACTAGTTTTATTTTTATCATCATCACCATCATCATCATCATCATCATCATCATCATCATCATCAATTTTCCATCTTACCTTGATAACAGGGTTAATAACATGCACCTTGAAATTTGTCTGATGTTAATTGTGTGACCATGGTCAGAACTTGATACCTCCTTCCCTGTTTTTCAGTTTTCTGATCTTTAAGATCGGAATTTTAGTAGTGCCAACTTCAAAGGACTATCATAGGATGTAAATATCTTAATCAAGTAAAATGTTTATCACAATGCTAGTACATTGTTAGCACTCAACTGATATTAGCTACTATAATTATCATCAATTAATCAGTAATGTGACATAGTTACATGACAAATCAAGGAAATAGAGAAAAATACATAAAAGCATCGCCAATCTTCCTACTCAGTATTACATTTCTTGTATTCAGTTTGGAAAACAGTTGTAAAAGTGAATTTTTTTTATTTAACTGAAATTTTATGTTTTTACCACCACATGATTTTTGTTGTTGAGATAACCAGATCAGAAAAAAAAAAACCTATGGATTTGGAAGCATTCTATGAGACATTTATTGGGCCCATACTGTGTGCTTGCCAGTGTGCTTGAAGCTGAGTAGCCCCCTCCCCCCACACATCAGACATGAGAACTGCATGTCCACATGTAAACAACTTACAGTCCAAAAGAGGGAGGAAACCAAAATAAACTATCAAAAAAGCATATTGCATTATATTAAAGATATAAAGTGGTGGGAATTGTTGAATGTAGAAACCTGCACAATACAGATTTTAAAAGAGTGGTTTTAAAACAGTCTCACTGAGTAGGTGATCTGAGTTGAGCCTTGAAGGAGATGATAGAGTGAGCCATGTAGGCACCTCAAGGGAAAATGGTGTAAGCAGAAAGAACAGCAAGAACTCAGTCCCCAAGTTAGACTCATGCTTGCCATTTCATAACGAACCTAGAAGTCTGTGTTGCAGGAGTGAATTTAAAGGAGGGAAGGGTGATGGGACAGGAGATTAGACAGGTCACTGAGACTGGATGTTTTAGGGATTTTTAGTTAATGTGATGACTGTTATTTGCAGGGAAGTATAAAGAACTGAAGAAGCTCTGTCAAGTAGGAACTTGAGTTGATATATCTCAGTCATCTGCCGCTCCCCTAAGCAGCAAGATCCTACCCCTCTGTTGGCCTGGAACAATAATAAATGAGATAGCAGTCTAGCAAGTCCTACAATGCTGCCCTTAAAACTCTGCAAACTGCAGAATGTGGGTTCATTGTATAGTAGTGGGCACACAGAAAGGAATAATGCCACAGTGATTCTGGAAAAGAAATGTAGTCCTTTGGAGCTGAAAGAGAGCTCATTAGGACAATTCTGCCGCTGGCATCGGTTCATGAAGCCAGGACTTGAACCCTCTTGCCTTCTCAGCCTGCCCAGCCTCCAGCAAGACCTTCTCAAGGTCAGAAAAGCTTTCTGTCAGGCTTATTGTGCAACCTGCCTTCTTGCCACCACCGGGTGGTAGTGATCTTTTTGCCCAAGTAAACCAAGAATAGGGCATATCTTTGACACAGAAGCAGTAGGGAAGTGAGTGCCCCATACATAACCATCCTGCTTCATAGGGCTCACATGTTTTTCAGACCTTTTCCTGCTACAGTCTGGTGTTTTGTCCCCCCCCCCCCTCATCTGTCTCTTCTTGGGAGGTTTTTTATCTTTCCAGTAACCCTCTAAAATGTGCTGTTTAGAATTGAATGCTCCTAGGGAGGAATGTTGGAAGCTTCAGGACAACAATCATGTTTTGAATCTAGAAATGGTACTTTAATTACTATAACCTAAAATGGTACTCTGGCGCTTTATCAGCTAAATATGCTACCTTCATTAAGCTGTTGGCTCAAATTATGTTTGTGGGTTAAGTCAAACCTTAAACCTTTTTTGGTTGCTTGGTCAGTTTGTGTATGAGCTGCTTCTGAAACACTGTTCTTTCTTCCAGGCTCACAAAATGGATTTTTAAGGTTTTTGTCTCAGTCATTTTTCTTTATCTTATTTAAATTTCACCTTTTTTAATTTTAGCCCAGTATCCCAGCCCATCTGAGTTCACACTGAATCTCAATTTTGTTCTGCAACGTATTTGATACTCTGCCAGCTTTGAGTCATCTTCAGACGTGGTAAGTACATTTTATATATCATTTAAATTATTAATGAAGTTGGAAAAGCCCCGTGCTCCTTCTCTGGAGACCTTTCTACTGGCTGCCACCTATGCTGTGGGTAAAATTCTTTAATCAATTGCCACTCCATTGGGCTACATTATAGTCTGGTTAAGACATCATTGTTTTATCTCAGTTCATTCATGGAAAAGTTATAGGAGAAACTTAACAAATGCACTACTGAATCCAACTTATGAACACAGACAGTGTTACAAAAGATAAGACGGATAAGGATAATCTAAGATGGAGTTTTTCTGGTTTGGCTTGCACACTGGAAATGCAAGTAGTTTTCTAATTATAAAGGTATTGTGGGTTTGTTATAAAGGACGATAGCATACACTGAAAGTGAAAGTCCATTATCATTCCGGTACTCTAATAGATATATTCAGCTAGTTTGATGAATATCTAAACAGCTCTATGTTTCCCCAGCCCCTTAAGATACTTTGGAAACATCTTTCCTTATCAGAACACACAGTTTTACTTTATTTCCAAAATAGAGTGTTATTGTTTGAGGCTGTTTCATATTTTGTCTCACCAACCTCATATTGATAGGCATTTAGATCACTGGCAGGTAATCTTGTTACACATACTATGGTGAGATGAACTTTCTTTGTTGACTTGATGAACACTGCTGGGATTCTTCATCCTCTTGTCTTTTTCAAATATTTTGTCAGTGTCCTAATTCCTCAAGAGCCATTTCTACCTAAGAAAGAAAAGTAAGATTGAACAGCTATCAGGTTACTGATTTGTCATGAGCCAACTTATTATTCATCGGGGTTTGAGTTGGACAGTGTATACTGTGTTGTAACTTGGTGTGGGGTTATGAATCTTTTTGATATTTTTATTGCTTCATTGAGAATGATACACAATGTATTTTGATGAAATTTATTTCTCCCAGATCAACCCTTACCTCCCTACCCACCCAACCTCATGTTCTCTTTCTCTGTCTTTCTCATTAAAAAAAAAACCATCAAGTCTGGTTTGTGCTGGCCAACTACTTTGGGGTGTCTGAGTCTGGAGCATGGTCAATATACTAGAGGACACACTATTAAAGAAAACTGACTCTCCCTCTCTCCCAGAAGTCATCAAATGGCAATAGCTCTGCAGCTATGGATGGGAATTCATGCCTATTTTCCCTACTCCATGTTGGGATTTTGTTTGGCTTGAGTTTATGCTAGTCTTGATCATGCTTTCATATGTGCATCTGCCAGGTTGTGTTAAGAAAAATACTGTTTTCTTGAAGTGATCTACCACCTCTGCCTCTTACAATCATTCTGGCCTCTCTTCTACTAACTTACCCTGAGCTTTGAGAGTAGGGTTTACTACAGATGTCATATTTGGGCTGAGCATTCCAAATCCCTTATTCTGTCCTGTATTCATCACCACCTGCTTTAAGAAGAAACTTCTCTGATAAGTGTTGAGAGACAGAGGCTTTAAAATGTCAAGCACTTCATGATGAAGATCTAAATGACAAATAATTTTGATAGGAGGCAGCAGGTCCTAACTGACACAAGTGATGTGATTAAAAGCACTCAGGGGCAGAACTGCCTTGCCCGTGAACCATTATTCCTCATTATACACCCTCAACTCCAACCAAATGGGGTGATTTTCTAGGTCCCTCATGATCCCTTTCTTTCTTATCTCCAAGTGTGTATTCTGCCATGGCCTGTTCACTATGTACATGTATCTTGTTGACAAGGTAGGAGCCATCTGCTGTGAATTGTAACTCTAAGATCATATCTGAACTGCAGCTGCCTAGTTCTGTGACTTGGGATAAATCATTTATCTTGTCTGGCCCTAGTTTAGAATGTGTAGAATGAACATTTACCTAAGTAATATATGTCAAAACACCTTTTTAAATGATTGGCTGATACTAAGCAGTCAAGTGACAGCTAGCCTCTATTATTGCAATCATCGACATGGGATGTCATATTCCCTACACCATTGAGTAGTGATGGAGACTAAATGGAAACATGTGCAAAGCCCATAACAGTGCTCAGCATAAGGTGAGTGTCAAACAAAAGATAGTAGTTACTGATTTTTTGTTCATATCTCCTTTTGGATACTTGTTTTCTCATCTGTCACTTCTGTAGATGTTCATGTCTTAATCTCCCAGAAAGCAGAAAAGTGTCAATACTGCAAATTACAGGACTTCTTTGTACGAGGAAATGCTGCTGTTACCTAAAAAGTCTCTCATTAGATTATTTGCTAGGTAGATAACTCCTTTCCTGCTACCTGATCAACAATGAATGCCTAGCCAAGTCTGAGCATGCAGATTTCAACCTCTGAAGCCACTGATCACAGAATTAGCTGTGCTCTGAAATGTTGAAATTTTCTGGAACTACTGACCATCTATGTGACTTTACCTGAGTGGAGTGGATTTGTATGCCACTCTCAGACTTCTGCCATCTAGACAAAAAGGAGCATCTTTAGCCTTTAGCTCTTAGACTACCAAAATAGCCACTTGGGTTCTTTCTGTATTTACTGATGCCTTTATGCAACACAGTAAATCAGATCACATCATCCTCAAAAATCTCACAGCTCTCATCTCATGAAGTAAGATATCTTTTAGTTTGCGCGGTTTACTGACCCTGGCATAATGTAGTTCCTGTGTACCTTTATAATCTCATCTTGTACAACTCTTTTTCCCTGCTTTGTACCACCCACAGTAACCTTCTGTTCTGAGAACACACCAAATTCAATTGTACTCCAGTGCTTTCACTCTTATTCTGACCCTCCACCGGGAACTGAAACCAAATTGGCCTTGCTTTATTTTTCCTTTCAAGTTTCCATATAAAAGATAACATCTCAGAGTAACATTAAGTCTTGCCTGTGCATTTTATTTTCAGTAGGTTCTCATGTTTCCAGTTAGTTGCAAACTCATTGGTTCTCAGCTTCTCATGGAGAATCACTTAGAGAACATCAAAATAAAACAGTGGCCAGGCCTCTTGTAGACCAAGTAAGGCATATTTTTGGAGGTTGAATTCTAGGCATCTGTATTTGCAAATACTTCCTACTGTGATTTGAACAACCAGCCAAGGTTGATGGCCTCCATTCTGGTCAATCAGTCTGTTTCTTTGCTGCTTACTGCTTACACCAAGCTACAATTAATTTGTTTATTTCATCCACTTAATCAGTAAATATTTATTGAGTCCATACCCTTGCCAAGTATTACTGAAAACACAGGGATTAAAATAGTGAACACAAGTGAATACAATTCCCAAACTTTATAAAACATCAATTCCAATAAGGAAGGCAAATAATAAGCAAGAACAATCAGGCATTTAGTACTGTGTATGTGATGTTACTCACTGAATCAGTAAGGCATGCTATGGAAAAGGTATGTAATGTTGTATATTGAATGTTTGTGTCTTCCTACAAATACATAGGTTGAAATCCAAAGCCAAAACGGGATGGAACTTAGAGATGGGATTTGGGGAAAATAATGATGTTTACATGAGGCATTGAGAATGGGGCATTGGTCTGATGGGATTAGTTCCCTTCCAAAAACTGCTTACACTAGAGAGGTTTCTCTCTCCCCTTTCACTGGTCAGGGAAAGGGCACACATATGAACCATGAAGGCATGACTGCTGCATATAAGACAAGAGCAAAGATTTCAAACTGAACTCTAATTTGTCTGCATCTTGATCTTGGATTTTATACCTTTGAAAATACTGATAAATGTACTTATATTTAAGATGTCTAGTCTATGGTGTTTTGCTATACCATCTTGAATTAACTAAAGCATATAGTATGTTAGATTATAAATTCTGAGAATAAAAATAAAAGAGAAAACAGAGACAAGATAATTTTGTTGGAGAGGTAAAAGTTTAGAGTCCCTTCCAGTGCCCTGCTTGGAGCCTCCTGAGGCCTGGAGACTGTGAGAGGGGGAACCTGTCCTGGCAAACCAGGTCATCCAGAATCTGCCGATGTTGCAGTGCTAGTCCCGCCTCCACCCACAGGAAGAGGAGAGCCATCAGAGTTTTGGACCTGCTTGCACCCACTGGAAGAGAACCTTGGACCCGTACCAACCAGGAGAGGTAGAGACCCACCAGCACCCAATGGAAGAAGGGATGGGAAGACGACAGTATAAGAACACAGCCAACAACAGAAAAATCAATATGACGCGACCAGAGTCTAGGGACTCCAAACCAGCAAGACCTGAACATCCAACACAGATGAAACAGAAGAGAACAACCATAAAAACAAGTTTATGAAGATGATAGAGACCCTAAAAAAAGAAATGAGAAAATCCCCTAAAGAATTGGAAGAAAAAAAAAACAAAGAAAAAATTCAAGAAATGGAGGAAAAGACAAACCCAAAATGGCAAGAATCAATTCAAACAGTGCAAGGTTTGAAAGCTGAAATAGAGACAATATAAAAAACACAGTCTGAGGGAATGCTGGAAATATAAAAGCTGGGTAAACAATCAGGAACTACAGATGCAAGCATAAACAACAGAATACAAGAGATGGAAAAGAGAATCTCAGGTGTTGAAGATACACTAGGAGAAATAGATTCATCGACCAAAGAAAATCTTAAGTCCAACAAATCCCTAACACAAAATATTCAGGAAATATGGGACACCATGAAAAGACGAAACCTAAGAATAATAGGTATAGAAGAAGGTGAAGAAATCAAGCTCAAAGGTGCAGAAAACATATTCAACAAAATCATAGAAGAAAACTTTCCCAAACTACAGAAAGACGTGTCAATGAAAGTACAAGAAGCTTACAGAACACCAAATATGGTGGACCACAAAGCTCTTGGTCCCCAGACTGATAGCTGGGAAACCAGCATGGGACTGATCAAGATCCCCTGAATGTGGGTATCAGTGAGGAGACCTTGGAAATCTATGGGGCCCCTTGTAGTGGATCAGTACTTATCCCTAGCATAGGAATGGACTCTGGGAGCCCATCCTACATGGAGTGATACTCCCTGAGCCTAGACACAAAGAGGT